GGGGGTTTGGGGGGTTCGAAAGAACCACCCTTTTTGCTGGGAAAAGGTCCACTCTGGGTAAAATTTGACCTAGGTACATGAAGTTTTTATGGAAAAAGGTCCACTTTTTCAAAAAAAGAACCCCCCTTTTGAAATTGCTGGCTAAGGGCCTGAGTATTTTGCACATACCGAAAAGTGACACGTATATAATGCGTTGGATAGTTAAAAAACGTTTATTCGAAGGCAATTGCATAATGCAATCTACCCGGTAATGCAAATTTCTGGTTACAGGACAGAAAGAAAATAAACGAACTCCGGAAGAAAGTACCAAGAGCTACCATATTTTATGTTTGCAACAAAGTTGAAGTAAATGAAAAGGCGCTTAGAATGGATCAAACAGCCGAGGAAGCTGATTTGCCGAGAGAAACCCCTGATAAAGCAGCAATGACATTCAAAGCATTGGCTCACAGTGGTCTACTGGACAGCGAAACCAATACCGACGACAATCCGTTTTTTGCTGCGGTGTCGGTGAAAGATGTTCATCGATCGAGAAAGAGAGGTCAAAATGACGAACGTTTTCAACAATTCAAAATTAAGTTTTTGAAACTGGCAGTACAGACTATGCACAGCCACACAATTGATGCTCTATTGTCCGTGGTAGACATGCATAACGTTCTTTTCTACGGTATGTGTGGCTCACCAACTCAAAGGGCATTACTCTCGCATTTCATGGCCGAGCTAAAAAAGCACTCCTTTGAATTCTTCGACAAAACAAAGAAAGCCATTAAGATACGCAAGTCAGTGCTCGTGCATGTGGTCAAGAAAACATTGGCTGACAATAAACATGACATTATTCGCGACGCGATGAATATGAATTTTTTGCCCATAGTTGGTGATACAGTCAGGAGAAATGAAATCATCCTTCAGTGCAGGGAGCAAATAGAAGATCACATCGTCATAAAATGTGACACACTGATAAGAGCAAAAATGGCAGCCACATTCGATGAGATAAACAAAATCTGTCAAAGAGATCTTCGGGATGTATTAGTTCACATACGTGACGCATTAGGTTACAGCATTTGGCACGATATAATGGGGTTTCAACAGAGCATTCTTACCTGTCTCAACTTTACGGATAGAAATGTTCTGGTTTTAACCGAAACAATGTTTGATAAACTTAAAGAAAACGCGTTGACATTTCTAGAATATATGCAAGGGTTGAAAGTCACCAAAGAGTGGAAAACCAAAGTAGCAGAAAACATTTTTTCACTTATAGACCCAAGCGAAACTGCAAATGGTACGGTGAACCTAATGAAAAGGAGAGTGGCTAGCGCACGAGAACATTTCGAGCAAACCCTAAAAAACATGGACAGTGCCACATCAGCCATAGGCAAATTGAGCCCTCAAGAGCAAAGGTCACTCGAAAAGGTGTCCCCTATTGTTGCACAGAACAGCTGCATGGCTATGGCTCTTCTGAATAACAATTTATATGGTCTTCTAGAGTTTGGGGAGACTCAAAGCACCTCAGATAAAAGCCAAGTTAGACTGGTGACCAACCCTGCTCAACTTGTAGGAAGATATGGAGAGTTCGCATATGTGGGGAAGATGGTCCAAGCAACTGATCTTCATCTTCTTCCACCAAACGTGGCAATGGGTTTTCTCACTGCAAGGTATGAAGGAAAAAAGTATATACGTCTTTTCTTCACGCTTTAATTCACAGAAAGCTAACTTATCAAGGAAGATTTTCGTCAGCCCGTCAGTTCTTTTTTGAAAGTTTTATTCAGATATTTCAGTTGACAGCTAAATGGAATACTGAAAGTAATTCATTTCTGTCAAAAAAAGTCACTGTATTCTCGGAGTAAATTTATCAGTTTAAACAAAGGAAGGGTGTTACACAGAGCATTAACTAGGGCAATGATAAATGTATAAATATATATAATAGATAATTTATAAAATCATGAAAAGGAAATAAAAAGATTACTTGATAACACTGGAGAAGGAACAATTCCCTTTGTCCGTTTTATCCACTAGTTTCTGTTCTACATATTTTAGGCTGTTACCTCACAATGCAAACGTCCTTCACTATCTGGACGTGGTGATAACTACTGAGTTCCAACCTGTTCTGATAAGACAAAGATACACCATCAACTTAATGGATGCAGTGCAGACAACCAAGTGCATACAAGAGAAAGAGCGCAAAAGAATACTAAATGATGTCATTCAGGGCTTGGAGCATGTTCTGTATTTTGCAGTAGAGATAGATCTGAAACCTACCCATGTGGTCGTAAGTAAAAAAATCTCTCAATATATATTCTCCCAATATATACTCATAAGATGTCGATAATTTCAGGCCTTTTTTTTTACATAACCCCGCCAAATGTAGTCCCCCTTTTATATTTATTTCTCCCATCCATAAATTGTCGCAGTTTGATACAATATTGTCAAAGTATAAGAGGTTGTCAGAATATTTTCAAATGTCACACTCAATGAAGCATTGATTGTTTGATCTTCATCGTATAACATTCTCTTAATACCATAAAAATTACATATATCTATTGTTTTTGTCAAACTATGGTCAGTATTATTTCAAAGTCAGCTTAGTTCGTTATATTTTGCAGACCTGCTCGCAAAAAGATGCCCGTGAAAGACAATGGAAAATCCTGCTAGGTCCCCGCGAAACCAGTAACGTGTATCCCAACGGCTACCATCCTTTTCATCTCCCCCCAGAGGCATTTGACAAAAGCAGCGTAGGTTTTGGTGAACATCAGTACGTCTACAGTCTAGGCATTCTCCTTTGGTTGCTGTTTAATCCTGAGTATGCGTGGCCAGAATTCGCCAGACCAGAGACTTCCCGGGATGATTTTATTCTAGCCGTGGATGAAGGAAACAAACGCCCCGACGCTACCAAATGTTCTCCCGCAGCTCAAAAACTGTTCGAACGCTGTTGGAATGCGGACCAGACAAGAAGGCCAAATATCAAGACATTTATAAAGGAACTAACCAAAATATCATAATCTGTAATGGTTCATTGACATAAATGCTTTCTACGAATTTTGCGAATGAATAAGCTCTGTCTCTGTAACGTTGATGATCCAATACGAGTTACCTCATCAGTGATTGAAAATGCATGCCAGTATAGTGCGAATTAAATGTTCATTTTAAGCGGATGTGTTTATTTTAAACTTTTTTAATAGTCCATGGGCCAAATACGGAAACCCTCCCCCCCCTTAGTGATATTCATTCACTATGTTTTTCTGATAGCTTATGTCCTGAGTTTAGATTTTCCGCTTGTTTGCCATTAAACTGGTGGTGGGTGTGTGTGCTACAGCCGTTGCCGTGGTAACGTCTGAGATTAAAAATTGAAAATTTCTGAGACCAAAAAATATTAAATTATTCAAATGTATTAAGTAAATGGAATTATAAATCATTTCAGATGTATAGGTTAAGAGCTGCACTATACTTCATGATCCTCAAAATTCTCCAAGATGGCTGTAATTTCAAGATGGCGGCCAATTTTTGCTAATTTTTGAGTAATTTCAATTATTTTTAATATTTGAGTTTTAATTCAATTATCAAGGAATAAGAATGTGGGATATGCTTTGATGCACCGGAATTGCATAAAGTCTCTACTACTTGCTACCTAAGTATTTGTTTTAGATGCAACCTTTTAATTTTGTTGTAAAACGGTGGCCAAAATACAAGTCTTTTACATTCTGTTGTCCCAACTGGAAAGATGCCATATTTATTATCAAAGTTACATTCTTTATTACTTTTAATAAACTGAATTCGAACTTAGGCCTTTTCCAAACAATTTTGCTTAATTCTGATTACATTGGGACTTTCAAAATTCAAAATGGCCGCCAATATGCTTATACACACTGGCTAAAAATGATATAATATCATATATTCTTCCAACAGAATTTTAATTTTAATTATCTCCAACCAACTTAGTCCCATTAGTGATTTTTGTTTACTATGATTTTCTGGTAGTTTAAGCCCTTAGCATTTATTTTTCGCTTGTTTTTCATTAAACTGGTGGTGGTTGTGAGTATTACAGCTGCTGCCATGGTAACGTCTGGGTTTGAAAATTGATATTTTTGAGACCAAAAATGAAAATTAAATATTTCAAATGCATTTTAATTCATGGAATTCAAAATTATACCAAATGTGTAAATTAAGTGTGCTATACTTCACAATCATCAAAATGTTCCAAGATGACAGTAAATTCAAAATGGCTGTCAATATTTGCTCATTTTTGAATAATTTTGGGAATTTTTTGATATTTAAGTTTTAATTTAAATATTTAATTATTATTTATTATTAAATTACAGAATGTCACTGAAATTTTCCGGGTGATAATCGCTGACCGAGACCAGCCTTTCGTATAATTGTGAAAAGGTGATATCTCCATGCCCAATATCAATGGCAAACCAATCCAAAACGACGGCCCCCGCTCTCTTTATGTCTTTAATTGTTGTGTATTTTGAAAGTAATCCTAGAGATGAATTTGACGGCAAAGCGGACATATTTCCAAGTGGTGATAATACGTATGCGCAGAGAGCTCATTTTCCGGCAAATTCAATAACAGCGTTTGCGACAACCTACTTCGTTGGGGGGGGGGGGGGGATTTTTTTTATTTTTTTCGGAGAACAGACGAAAACCGGTGCGCGCGCAGGATGTCATCCCTAAAAATAAAAAAGTCTGGCCAAATAGGTGATAGGTGTGACAGATTCAGCTGTTGCCATATTAACACAGGGGTTTTGAAAAAATAATTTCTGAGACCTTTAAATTGTCATGTATTTCAAATATATGAACTCAATGTTTTGCAAACTTTAAAAAAACTTGGACCTCAGTTATTAATGAAAATATCTGCAAAAAATAATCATAGTTAAATTACCAAAATGGCAGCCAATCCAAGACGGCGACAGGTTTATGTTAATTTTACATCTTATTACTGAAAGTAGCTTTTTGTAAACTTTAAAAGCAGCATTGGAATTGAAAAATTATATATGCTGATATGATGTGAATTGCATAATTACTGTCTTCAGTGATTGTTACTCCTATACCCTCTTATTAAGTGTCAAAACCTGAAACCCTATGTGGCCATCACAAAACATGGTTTATACATATTGCTGAATGAATATGTTACATTTTCGTTACAAAATTCCCGATTTGCTGTTTCTGTTAAACTAAATTAACCTATTAATATTTCACTGGGAATTTCAATTTTCAAAAGATTTTCGACCAAATTATATTAACTTGGCCATTCCAAAATTCAACATGGCCACAAATGGCCATGACAGTGCAGGTATGGATTTTTACTGCAATGATATTAAACAACGCAAGAAATAAACAATTCTAAAAGTTGTGTTGTTAATTTCAATCAAATATGCCCTTTCTACACTGCTTTCATGGAAACATTTGTCCATATTTAGTTAAATATTTAGAAATGGATGAAATGTCTTTTTAATGAAGAATGTTCATTGGAAAGCCAGTTAAGATTTGCTGTTACCCCTGAAACCGAGTTTTTGTTACAATCTAAGATGGTGTTCAGCTATATGAATAAATGAAATAAAACATTTACATGTACATATACCACAACTCAGCTTCAAACTGCTAGAGAGGTAAAATTATATCCACATTTTGGAAAAAATCAATATATCCACTAACTTCAATTTAATATTTTTCTACTTGAAAATTTTATAATACTTTACTTAAAATATAAATGTATAGAAATGCAAAATCACCATCAATATTTGCAAACTACAAAACTACCAAAATTTAGTTTATGTATTTGAAATATTTAAGATTTTGTTGGTCTCCAAAATGTCAATTTTCAACCCGTGTGTTACCATGGCAACGGCTGTAGCACACATACCCACCACCAATTTAATGGCAAACAAGCAGAACATAAAAGCTAAGGACCTAAGCTATCAGAAAAGCATAGTGACCGAAAATCACTAAGGGGGGGTTCGGTATTTGGCCCATGGACTATAATGATCTGAAAACTCAAACGCAAAATGTATGTTCAAACACACGCTGGGGTCATAGATTTAGATAAAAGGAGTACAAAATGTCTTAGATGCCGTTTTTAGACTGGCACAACCGCTTAAGACTGTAAAAATAGTAAATTTTACCTTTTTTTAAATTGTGCTACTTGCGATGTGCAATGTAAAAAACTTAAATCCAGTCTGGACCTGGTTTCCCAGCAGGCATAGTAACGTTGGATCAACGTTGAAAACAGGTTGATACGTTGAATTGCCGTTGATCTACCTAAATTCAACGTAAAATTAACGTTGATCCAGCCACGTCAAAACCGTCTTAATGTGACGTTGGCTCGACGTTGTATTTTGGTCATTGACACAACCTTGCAGACATGGATTGTAATTTAAAATGTTAATTATTGAAAACGTGATACTTTGTTTATCAATACTGTAACTAACCTTATCAAAATAATAAAAAGTGTTTTAAAGTAAAAGTGACAGTTGTTTTGTGTCTTAAGTGAACTAGTGAATTTTCTTAACTTGTTATTCAGAAATACATTCCAATAAACTTCCTTGTAAGGTCAGTTAACACTAGGATGAATAAGGCGCTGTAAGTGTGATTGAGTGAGGTTAATAAAGTTGACAGTTCTCGGTACCCTTTCATAGATAGATAGGTTTAGGTGACTGTGACTTTATTTGTTATATTATTATTATGCATGATAACACAACATCTCTAAAGGGATAAAATATATACTCTCTGGGCACCTATAGTGAAAACTCCGGCGGTTTGGTGAAGTGAACTGACATTTTCCTTCTAGCATAAAGGCTAAGGTAAAGTAACCTTTATTGAAATAGGAATTTTTTATCCTTTGTTTGTCAGGGTCTAAGTGACGTCAATAGCGATAGGTAAATACTGCCAACAAATAACCTGATATCATATTTCGTTCAATGAATGAGCTGGGGAGCAGAGACTAGGTTGGAACAGCCATCACCTGGTTCTTAATCCTAAGTTTTCGTCGTCATAATACCAAAATATAATAGGCAGCAATATGCAGGATTGAAAAGGAAAGCACCAGTTCTACTTTACCGCAGCAAACTGCATCTATAGGGAAACATCGACAATTTACAATGGCGTCACTTGCTGGCGAAAAGTTAGCTGTTGCACTCGAGAAATTTCAGAAGGCTCTAAACCATGTCAAAGAATTGAAAGAAGAAACGACATCGTGTTTTCAAGAAATAATGAGAGAAATACCAAACATGGCTATGGACAATTTTTTGCTTCCGGCTGAGAGACAGGAGGTGGAAGATGTATTAAACTTGAAACCGTGCGTGATTTTTACTGGTCAAACAAATTGTGGCAAGAGTTCTCTTATTAATGAAATTCTACAAAAGTCGGTGCTGCCAGCTAATGAAACGCCTTGCACCGCACGACTGGTTAGGTTGACATTTTCCGAAAATCCGTATTACAGAATCGGTGAAGACGAAGAGGTGGCAATGAAGGGTTCAATTCCACGGCAAGTTGTACAATTAGGTGTAGACGACAGGAGGGACGCCAATGAGATAGCAAAATACGTAACATGTGGGATAAAAAATGGCTTATTGAAATCAGGACTAGACATTATTGACTCCCCTGGCAGAAATGAAAATGAAGAACTGAATCAGCTTCTGAAAAACGAGGTAGAACGAATCCCCATCTTAGTGTACGTGGTTGACGGCCACAATCAACTGACAATTCAGGTATGTGTTTTTTTGCTTGTTAAAAAATCTTAAAGACGGGTGCTTAATAATTATACAAACGAAGCACTTACATATTTAATTAAAAGTGCGTTTTAACAAAATTGCGTTTTAACAAAATTGAAAGGATGATACTACGCTTGTGGGGCTAGTTACTGATAATGACGAGAGTACATATAGAGAATCTGTTGAGTCGGTGTTAAGCTGGTGCAAGAATAATGATCTTATCTTGAACGTAGCTAAAACCAAAGAAATGATAGTGGATTTTAGAAGGAATCAGAGTGTAAAGGTAGGCCTACCACTCACCATTGGTAATGTTGAAGTTAGTAGAGTAGAGGAATTTTAACTACTTGGTATACACCTTAACAGTAAATTGAATTGGAAAGATAACACCGCAAAGAGTGTAAAGAAGGCACGGCAAAGACTGTATTTTTTAAGATCATTGAGAACTTTTACTGAAAGCGTGCCTATTTTAGTCAATTTTTACAGGTGTGTAATTGAAAGCATTCTAGCGTACGGAATTATAATATGGTATAGCGGAACAGCTGGGGAGGAAAGGAAGAAATTAACAAACGTTGTAAAAACTGCAAGCAGGATTATTGGGCAGGATCTCCCCAAGCTGGATGATATTTTTAAAGACAGAATGGAGAAAAGAATTGTCAACACCATGAAAGACTCTTTCCATCCTGCAACATCTCTTTTTACTTTTTTACCAAGCAACAGTAGACTTTTAACTTTTAAAGGCAGTAAACGCTTTCTAAACAGCTTTTATCCAAGTGCAGTGACGCATTTTAATTTGAACTCAAAACTAAATTCTTAATTAATTTATTTATTGTATTATTTTATTATTTTACTCTGTATATTGCTCCAAAAGGAAAATGATTTCCGATTTTTATAATTGGCTAAATAAACTCTTATATTAATCAGTATCAATGTTGGAATACAAATCAAGATTTTTACTAAAATGCTGAAGCTTTTGTGAAAATGTACCTGTTGTGCATAGTATCAGCATGTCTTCCGCTTACATACGACATGGAATAAAAAGGTGGTGGCATATTTTTTCTCTGCTGTGAATTTGTTTGAGGAGTGTAGCTCCACCTCTCTCTTCCATATTTATTCTTTATCAAAAAGTTATAAAGTCTTTTATATTCATGGTATTGCTTTAAACGTGTTTTTAAAGGTTTGCATTATTTCTAGATGAACTATTAGCACAATGTGTTATTTTGATTTTTCTGTCTTTTTCATTCTTCACTCTGCCTCACTAAAGATTGATTGTTAAAATGTTTCTTATACTGCCTCTGTTATTGGCCAGATAGTAGATGCCCCTGTGCCAATGTGCCTTTAAAGATACAAAATTTTAGACATCAATACAATATGCAGGGGATCCAGGATTATTTGAATGGGGGCACGAATGCAGGGCCGACCCCCCCCCCCCTCCCACCCCTTGGCGTGGGTTCTCGGACCTGCTGAAAGGCCAGAAAAATATTTTTCTGGCCTTTTAGCCTTTTAACTGGGCCCTGGTATTTTAGAGGGCGAACGGTGTCATTTGGTACGGTTTAGAACTATGATTCAGCTAGAGAAATTTTAATTTCAAGAGAGGATCTTTGGTGTGATGTTTTTGAGAAAATGACTGGCGAAGATGTTGCCTAGCTCATATCTGATTCTGGGATATGTTGGTGGTTACACTTGACATAAAAAAAGGCTCCATTGTGAGTTCTACTGGTGTAACCTACTTTCGTTCCATATAAACCATACATAATTCTGAATGTTTTATCTTGTTGGCGCATGCAAGTCATTTTATGACGATCCGTTAGATGTATTTATAACTTCAGAGTATCTTTTCTAAGAAAAAAAATCTGTTTATGATAGATTAAGAGACGAGGAGAAATATTAAGTGAAAAAAGAGGCAGGTATATGTCCAAGTCCCTTTTGGCAATAGGTCATATAGACATGCAGATATACTCCAACAAATGAAAGATTCTTTTTCTTTAAAAGGAAAATACATGTAGTATTAACATATATCATGCAGTAATACTTAGTGATGGTGAAATCAAAAGTTGACTTGATGTTCATTGACCCTTTTTGGCGTTTTGGTTGTCACATGTCAATTATCTAGTCAAAAGCAAGAAAAATGGTATCAAAGAGTGCAAAAACTTTTAACCATCATACAATATATACAACCACTGAAATGAGCAATTAATAGGTCAACAGACATAAAAAGGAGACCAGTTCTATTCAGTTGACCATAGTTATAGACTAAAACAGATTAAGTGACCTTTTAACGCTTTATCACTGATAGCACAATGAAACATTTAAAGCGTTTTAATATGTTTTATCATGCACACATACAATTTAACTTAGAAACAGGCCTAATATACATTTTGGTTAATATTTATTGAATTTGAACGAAAGTTCTTTAATGATTTTATTTATATTGAGACGGTATGTTTAGCTAAGCTACTGTTTGTTACACCCCTGACACATTTCTACCTCTACCTTCAGCCAGTTCATTTTCAGCAAAGAAAGAATTCATGAATGATAAAAAGATTTTTGTAAAAGATGAAATCTAAGTCAAACAAAGCATGATGTTGAACATATATCAAGGACAATTTTAAATAAATTGGCATTGAAATGAGATTGAAATCAATTATAACTTAAAAGTGTTACACTCCTGATCTTTCAGCTTTATTCTCAGCTTATTTTTTTCTAGAAGAGAAAAGGTAATTTTTTCTCAAATTTGCACTTATGAACCTTATACCTCCGTCACACTAGAGGCGAATAAGCAAGAATGCAGTCGGAAAGCCAATCCTTTGTGCGTTCCTGGATATTCGAAGAGCATTCTAAAAATTCAGAGTGCATTCCAAATAATTTACCCATTCTTGTGGAATGTTTTGCTCATGTATAAAAACTTTCGAAGTGCATTCCAAGTGGAAAATTGTCGAGTGGCATTTGAATAGTATTCTAACTGCACTATGACTGCTTTCTAAATAATCTCACGGCATTCCGACAGCATTCGAAATATTCTGATCACATTCGAGGGAGAACCAAAATGGCAAGACACTTCAATTCCTGCTGGAATGAGCCAGAATGCATCTGGATCCTATTTTAGCCAGCAATCGAAGTACACTCCTACGGTATTCAAATTGTATTCTAAATATTCTGACTGCATTCTGACAGCATTATTGATATTCCTAGTTTTCCAACTACATTCGAGCTGCATTTGAGAGCTAATACAGCCAAAATGTGCACTAATCATTCCAGGCGGATTCAACCGCATTTAGAGCATTCCAACGGCATTCTTACAAGAATTTGGGTCAATTTGAAATTTCTTCCCGAATGTAGTACGAATTTTTAAATTTAGTCATTCCGGCTGGTTCTGATTGATTCCTGCTGATTCCGCATAAGTGTGACAGGGGCTTTACAGGAGAGATAAAATGACGTTTAAGGGATAATTACTGTTCAGTTTGGCCGAAAAATTAATTTCCCTGTGGTAAAGGACAATTTTCCCATACTTACCAATTGTAAATGAATCCATTCCAACATTCAAAATTAGTCCCTGTTTTTTTTGTTTTATTTTATATATTATTTTTTGTAATAATCTATTAGGAGATTAATTCAGAGTGTAGCCATCTATTGAGGTCACTGGATGTGATGACAAGTACAAAATAATTGTGTTAACCGCCGCTTTCGGGGCAAAATAGAATTTATTGTACTTCTATGAGTTATATACAATGTATTTATTGTGAAATATTGATATTTTACGAACGGTCGTTATCCCTTCAATAACTATATATATATATATATATATATATATATATATATATATATATATATATATATATATATATAATTAGCCAATATATATATATAATTAGGCCAAATACACTTATAGGTTTTTTTAGATTGGCTTATACTTCAACAGTTTTAGCGCACTTAAATTAGAAATATGGTAAACAAATTGGCACTCTGATAAACTTCAAAGCAAATTAACTGTATGCTCTGTCATGCTTATTTTACCATCATGACTGTCTTTTGCCTTTATGCAAAGATTTCTTCAAAATCAAATATACTTTGAAGTCATCGTATAATTCTTTTCCAGGATGCAGAAGATCTAAGGACGCTTTATAACCAGTTCGTAGTTTTTTACGTGGTCAGCAAAGTCGATTCAGAAGATGACAGCGATTCTGATAGCGACTCTGAATCTGGAGACGAGAAGGCAACACCCGCTGGAGTTAAACAAGAGCGCATGGCAGTAGTCTATAGCCGTCTTGTAGAAGAAGGCTTATTAGATAAGCATACCCGGATGAACGAGTGTCAGCTTTTTCACGGTTTATCCGCGTGGAAACTTCATGAAGCCAGAGAGTCCGCGATGGCAGACAGCAAACATACAGTGTATCTTGCAGATTTTGAAAATTTCAAAAGTTGCCTCATAGGACACATTGAAGAAATTTTGGAAGCGAAAGTAACAATAGCGTGTAATAATCTCGCTAAAGCTCAAAAACGTTGCATTGATTCGCTTTTGTCTAAAGCAGAAGATCCGTTAACAATAGAAGAAACTTTAAAAGATATTGAAAAAATCAAACTATTGGAGCAGGATTTCTACCGTAGGGTTGAACAAAAACTGACGGACAAAACACGCATGGAAATGTCCCTCAAAACTATTTTAAGTCAATGCCAGGAGGAACTGGTTGAAGACATTGGTCAGATCACATTTGAGAGACAACATAACATTCAAGAAGGGGCGTATGTTACTGGTGAAGAAGCCGTTAAGAAATGTGGAGATCACGTGAAAGATATCTTGATTACACGACTTATCGATAAATATCAAAAAGGATTAAAGAACATATTCCAAAATGAAGAAAGCTTGATGCTTGAACTGCAGAGAACACAAAATTTGAAAAACACCAGGGAAGGTATCAAGCATGCGCTAGTATTAGTCTGTTCATTGACACAAAGTCTCTTTGACAGCTACAAAATACCACTGGATCTAAGCAAATGTGTGAGGAACCTTACATTTTGGGGACGCCTAAAAGAAGGTTTATGGAACTTTTTCCGAGCAATAGCCCACCCGATAGACTTTATCCGTGGTCGAACGATGATAACAGTAAAATGGAAGCAGGGCATAGCCAGGAAATTTTTAGCTTCAATTGATACAATGAATTTAGCTTCCGAAGTTGCTGAAGCACTCAAGAGTCGTTTTGACGTCGCCCACATAAATTTTCAAGAGAATATAATTGAACACAAAAACAACGTTGAAAGATCTTTGCGCCTCAGTAAGGAGCAGCTATCTTCCATTCAGCAGGTCGCACCAAAGATGGCCTCAGTTGAACTCCGCACCATCGGCATTTTAGATGTATTAAAGTACGGAACCCCGACATTTCTGAGACAGATCGGAGAAGGAGGGCAAGGGGAGGTCTGGGAGGTGACAGCGAGAGATAAGGCTAATTATGCTTTGAAACTCGTTGGGGACCCTGGATCCGAAGACCTCCTGGGAAAGTTGGCCCTTGAAATACATTACACGCGGTGAGTTTACTTGTGGTACAATTCTAGTAAATGGGCAATGCATCTGACCGTATTTTACACGTAAAAATCTTATTTTTATCGAAAAAATCCTTCTTCTCATGAGTTATTTGTCAACAAATTCCTTACTAGGATTCAATCTTTTGTAATATTTCTAATTAAATAACTTGGTTTTAAGGAAATGAATATTCAATGAGAGCGCCGTTTGCTTCTTGTCATTTTAGAATGAACATTTAAATCAGACGTTTTTTGAAAAATATAGCTTTGTTGGATAATTAGACATGAAAACATGACTTTGGGGTCTTTTCAAACCCGTGTAGCGCACCTCTTCAAACGATTGTGTAAGACCATGGCATTTACCCTCGATTTTGTTTTTTTTAATGAACTTTGCATCATTAAAAATTGCTTGTCTTATTGATTTATCGATTGTTATGGAACACCAAAGCAATGTTCTGGGAACGTATGACAATGTGTTACACTCTTTCGTCTTTTAGAAGCATCTCCCACGAACACGTAATGCCGGTCCTGGGGAGTTTTGTTATTGAAAAAGATGGCAAGCAGCACTTAGCCGTCCTCTACGAACTCATGGAAAGTGATGTTATGCATATGCTTCGTAACGACCCAGGGGATCTAAAGATTCGGCTTGGAATTGGGCTGCAAGTGGCAAGTGCTTTAAACTACATGCACAGCGCGGGACTCATGCATCGAGATATCAAACCGGAAAACGTGTTGGTATGTTGTCGTTTTGTGATCGTTTTTATAGCTTTACTAGGGGTCAGACATTTATCATGGGGTTTGAAAAAGGTAGGAGCATGTTGTTTTTGGGTCATTTTAAAAAGGGCCTTTTTTACAGAAACTAAGATTTTATTTTTGTCACAGATTGTTCGGTTATGCATGTATTTTTTTTAGCAACAGGAATTAAGGTCAAGAAATTAAGCTACAAAACCTAGTTAACAAGTATTTTAATTTTTTCATGGAGATGAATAACGGACATGACTGGTTTTTTATAGACTTATATAATCTTATTTTTGATTTTTTAAAACTAACATTTTAGCAGAACATTTCGATTTATAATGGATAAACATTTAATTTTTAAATACCGTATCATGGAGCATAAAATGTTTCTTTACACCTTTTAATTTATTTGTCAACAAATATTTGATAAAAAGTTATTTCAAAATAAAAGCTATTGGAAATGACAAGTCAGATAAAAATACAAATCAGGATCCCTTTGGAATCTTCTGGTATTCAAATCAAATTCAGTCCTTTGGTTCTAAACTGTTTATAAAAAACTCTGTTCTGGCCTTGCACCTGTAAATGTCCATCATAACGTGTTCAAACATGTTCCCCAAACGTGTCCTTAGCTGACTCTGTTATGGTCTCTGTTATGAGGTTTAAACTTCTAGAGGCTACCAAAAACGTATGTAAACTGAATGTTAGAAAGAAATGCATTTAAATTATTTAAATTCGTATTATATTTGCTGTAATATTTTATGTCTCCTTGATCTAAGCTGATGTAAGAAAAAAGAATGGAACAAACTCAAGTGTGATGTTTGAAATTTGGCCGATGATGGCCACTTTTATTGGAAGTCCCATTAATAAAAAGAAATAAAGCATATTAATAATAAACATTGAATAATGTTGATAGATGATATAAATATTATGTGTGCGCCAGAATTATCTACATTTAAATTATAATTCCAAACAAATAGTGCACACATTTCAAATTGTGGGGTTGCAAAGAGGCAAAACACATCAAAATTGAAAATGGCGAACGTAAAGTTATTCTGACAATTGTATACACTATAGAGAACTTTGCATAAAGCAGACTGAAGGTTTTCCTTGACCTCCGCGAGCCCAAGGTTATGGCCTCTCTTCGTGGGTGATTGTGTGTGGTGGGTGGGGGTGGGGAGGGGTCCTCACTCACTCCCATGATGGTGCGTTATTTATCCCGTTCTAAGTTTGTATAAGCTCTTATTTTCATATGGATTTTTTTATTCCCGTGAGTTTTACATATGAATTTCCGAAAGGTTCACTGGACCGTCACGAACTTAAGTGATTCAGAGATTAAATCAGAACTTAGCCACTTCTATAGGCACAGTATAATGAATTGGTATTGCATACGCTTTATACTTCTTCTAAAAATACTGCAATTTATTTAAAGAACTCTCTGTGAAAGTCTAGTTACTTCATTCTTTTACGTATTTTGTCCTGGGATATTTTTTCAGTTTTCAGGACTTAGGTATGGGCGCTATAAAACTGCCAAAATGTGGTCGTTTTGTCCAAGTAGTAGAATTGAATCATATTATCTACAAATCAGAGGGTCTAGTTTATCAATAAACGCACAATTCGCAATTAAAACCCCTTTGCCTGTTTGCCTGCCTTTAAACTAAGACACAACTGACCATAATGTGTGTTTGATTGACGGGGCAGGTTTAGCGCATACCTAGTTGGTATTTATACCAAGGCTTTCAAAAACTGTATTTATGTAGCCAAATGTTCACAAGCACAACGAAGCTCTGTTTTGCTCCAGAGTTAGTAAGATAAGTCCATATGACTAAAAATTGTCCTTTATTAATGACGAAAACTAATAAGTTACAAAACTGGGGAGATAATATAACATCCCCCAAATTATACAAGTGCCATAATATAAAAATAATAAAATATGTTAATGTTTTACACAATTCAGCTACCAATATGCTTCCAAAAAGGCATGGGGAAGAAGATTAAAGAGCAGTTAAGTAGGGGGAGGGGGGAAAAGATGGGGGGGGAACAGGAGGCTAAACTGACGTACGCCGTCAGTACTTCATCACTAGTGTGTGACGCAAATGTAAGGCCATTGAATGGTTGCAATGGAAAGGCGCAAGTCTACCAAGTACGAGGCACGCACTCACCACTTAGCCTAGTTTAATTAGCCACGGGCGCTGTGCGATGAATTTCGTGCGCCCGTGACAAATGTAATCTAGGCTTAAGCCTCGGTCACAACCGGCTGTACGGGCTCTTACGGGCTGTTTGCGTCCACCTTTTACGCAGAATCTCACGACCCATGTAGGTCTTTCTTACGAAAATTCGAGTTCGCAGACATCCCGTAAGCACGTACGGAGGATGTTGGGAATGTCCAAAAGATTCTACGAATAGCCTGTAAACAGCAAGACCGTTGCTCCCCTCGCTTTGAGTTAGCAAGTGAGACGTGCGTTGTGCAAAACGCACGTCGCAAGCAATGAAGGAGCAAGTGCCCTTTTCTTGTTAAGTGAGGCGCACGCCCTCACAACTAACAACAAAGTCGAGAGCACACCGGGGATGCGTCGCACGTGCGTCACCCCACGCCTGGTGTATGAAAGGCGTGCTCACGACGCAAGCTTGTGTCTTTACAATGAACGTCGACTTTGTAACGTGTACAACTATTTTCAAAGTTTTGAAATTTTTACTCAGTTTAGTTTCTAATATGCCTCCAAAAGGCAATAGAAAGAAGCTTAGATAGCAGAAAAAAGGGAGGAGGAAAAAGAAAGAATGGGATAACATGAAGCAAAACGGACCTACGCCGTCAGTACGTCATCAGAGACGTATGAGGCAAGTGTGAAGCAAAACTGACGTAAAAGGGCACTACTTTCGCCGTGCGTTGCATCCCCATCGTAAACGGTGAGTGTGTGCCACGTTTGCAGCAATCAAGACGAACTCAAGAAATGAGTACAATTTCCACGGTCATCGCTCCTTGCAATTAGCGTCACTGCTTGAAAGGACAACTCAAGTGGCCCTTGCGACTCGCAAGGCAGACTTTCCTCTACCTCTACGAACCCCACGACCTCCACTGCACCCCAAATTCGTAGGGGACGTACGGTCCTAAAATCCGTGTGTCCGGTTGTGACCGAGGCTTTAAGTGGCAACTGAGTACGCAGGTAGCAAGACAAACTCAAGAAATGAGCACAATTTCTAAGGCAAGGCAATCGAGTTTTAAAGTTTTAACTCTTGTGAAAAGATTAATCACTCACTATGCTGATCTTTTCATACCATCTCATTTTTTTTTCTCTACCAGTACTACAAATTTTCTGTACATGGCATTGGCAATGTTAATATTTTAATTTTTTCCTTTTTTGTTTTATTTACTTATTATTATTATTATTATTATTATTATTATTTTTGATTCTCTAAAGATTCATCAGTTAACCTTTGTTATTGGTCTTTATTCTCTCTACATATTTTGCCGTTCTATGCTTTTTGTTCGTACCATTTTTTATCCAGTCATATGTGATATACATGTTACATGCAAAGAAATGACTTAATTAGATGTATTAAACCCATGATTTAAAAATTTATGTTGTACTATATGATATCTGTTACACCCCTGACATAGGGGACCCAAGACAAGAATAGAATTAATAAATTATATTTTGGCAAAGTTCATTATGAACAAAAACTGATTGCTGTAACTAATGAGAGTCAGTTTATTTCATTTATGTATAATACCATTGAGATAAGTCGTAATTTGCTTCCTGGGATGTTACACTGCTGATACATTTTTACCACTTCCTTTGGTCTGTTTGTTCATTTGCTACAAAGAAATCCTTCAGAACACACACAGCATAAAAACTAAGGCTTCATTCACATTAGGCTTCGTTCACATGCAATGTCTATTTTCTAAATTCTATTTCCTACATGTATTCGCGCTATCTTATGATCACGGTCTGTGCCCTGAATATCCCGCCGCGTAATTACTGGCAGCGCGAGCCAGTTACTTATAGTAACTTATAGTAACTGGCTCGCGCTGCCAGTAATTACGCCGCGGGATATAATATTCAGGGCACAGATCGTGATCATAAGACATACCGCGAATAGAAAATAGAATTTAGAAAATAGACATTGCATGCGAATGAAGCCTTAGTAAATCTTGCCAATTAACAGCAAGATCAACACTGAACATCATGCATGGTATATACTTGGACATAATAACGAATATTATGTCCAAGGTACATAAAAATATGATCTTCCTGTATAAATGAAAGATTGAGATTATTTGAGACTCAAAAGTATTATGTACACTCATGACATTTAAGTATATATATGTTCATATACTTATATACAATCATTATATATATATATATATATATATATATATATATATATATATATATTAGAGATACATGTAAATTGAATTTTGTGTGAATACGTGTATTCACATAAATTTTGAAAATTCGTAATAGTTATACTGCTTCGTAGCATTTTACAAATGCTTATTTTATTTTGCTTTTAGCTTGACTCAGAAAAGAAGGCAAAGCTGGCAGACTTTGGGCTATGTAAGCCATTGGCTATGAGCAACCAGACTATTTGCGGCACACCGCTGTTCCTAGCGCCCGAGATACTTGACAAGGAAGGCTCGTACGACCCATCGGTAGATGTTTATTCCTTTGGTATACTCCTGTGGTTCTTGTGTGATGGTAGAGGTAAAAACCCCTTAAATGTGGTATGGCTGGCTCTCTTTGGGCTTTGTGGCTTTTGTAGACTTGGTGAACGACCCGAAAGGCGTCCTAACTTCAGTGATGAATGTTGGCAACTTATGACGACTTGCTGGGACAGTGACCCCAAAAAGAGGCCAAGTTTTGATGACATCATTTCTAAGCTAAAAGCTATCATTGCGAATTTGTAAATGGCAGTCTATTCTATAATTTTTTTCACATGCCATAGATAACAAATAGACACAGTTTATTCTTATAAGTAGGGGATGGAAACATTTTGTCTGAAAGAAAAACAAGATCCGTGGTTAATTGAAAAAGACCATTTTAGAACCTGTTGCTTAAAAAGAACATCAAAATTCAAGAACGCATACGACGATAAGAATGATGACATATGGCAAAAATGTTTTATATGACGAAAGAAGTTTAAAATGACTAGAAGAAGCACTAGTTTTGATACAGGTATCTATAGGAATGCAAAATGTAAAAACTGACACTCGGTATTCGGGTGAACTATTAAAGATACAATTAAAATTTTCATTAAGGTAGCATTTTGTTCCAATAATTTAGACTTAGAAAGTGTCTTTAAAGCAGTATATTGTTTGTTGCGAGCCTCTCTAGGGAAAAGGACTGATAACTAAATATATATGTTTATTTTTAAAAATCATATTTGTGATTTTGTAATATTTTTAAACCTATCTTTATCAATAACTAAACTTTTACAATAAAGCGAATTGGTTAGATCTTGCTTGGTGAAGAGAGAAATGAAACTATTTAAAAGAATCTTAAAGATGAATAATGTCTTTTTATATTCATTTTATATTCAAGAGGAAGGAGGATAGAACATGCATACATATACATCACGTGATCACAACATGTAGTGGCATCTGAAAGCAACACCTTAAGATTGTCATGCACGTCGTGGTATGACGGGTCCTAGAAACTACATTTTATTGTTGCAACTTCGAACAGATTTAGGTTAACTATTACAATATGTACAATAACACACAACAAACTCCATGTCAGTAGTCAGTAAAGTGGCATCCCACGCCATGCTTAATCAAATATTTAAAAGAGCAACCTCTAAACTAGGTACGTAGTTGCCGATAAGTAAATCGTTACAAAATACTTAACAATTACAAAATTAAAAATTATTTCCCTTTCAAATTTATGATAATTCAAAATAGAAGATTATTAGGTTGCTCAATTTGGTAACTTCTCAGATATAATTGTAAATGGTGATAACCCTTTACTACATTGTGTAAATGATCATTAGTGAATGTTGCATAGTTTATGTATACTTGGTATTACAAACCTGTAAACAAGTTAAGAGGTTGCATTTCAACGGTAATAATTTTTTTATTAGTAACTGATCTATTAAACCACATGCTGGGCATCGAGTTTGATAAAAGCAAAATACATGTATGTATATCAAAAAAAGGGTATATGGGTTATTTCACACACTAGCTTTTTTATTCTTGAGTAAGTTTTATAATGATTAAAAATATAAGCAACTAGAAAAAATCCAGTATACTAGTACAGCTGCCAGGGTATTCCTTGGGATACACAGATTTACTCCTCTTCTTGCCATAGAAGGAGATATAGGGTGGATGAGAACAAAATATGAAAGATGGTTGCACCTTGTAGAACTGTGGAACAGGCTGGTTAACATGGGACGATAAGATCACAAAACAATTTTCCTTAGAGATTACGATTTGGCAAAAGAGGGAAACATTAAATGGTGTGCCCACCTTTCTCATTCTTAAGCTGCCTGTGAAATGGACCATTTGTTTAATAAATTAGTTACTTGTGATATTGGTCTTATACATTATTTAAGATTCAAGAAACAGTTTGGAAGGAAGGCTTGCTAAAAAAAAAGGCCAAATTAAGGGTTTACAAGAAATTTAAAGAACATTAAACAGCAGAAAATGGCATCAGATATAATTAGAAGCAGAGCAGAAAGGTCAATCACTGCTCAGTTTAGAAATGGAGTACTACCATTACATGCCATGTTGAAACAGGTCGATTTGTAAACAAAACGCTGGTGGATAGACTTTGTATGCTTCGTAATGAACAAAAAGTAGAAGAAAATAAGTATTATTTTATTTCTCGCTTTATGCAAATATCAGGCAAAAATGGTATGAAAGGGAAAATGAGCGATTGTACCTTTCGTGTTCTGGGGCGAGGCGGTGGAAGAGAGACCTCGGATACATCTTCAAAGACTTTCACAGAAAAAAAAATCGAGCTCGAGGTTTCACTTTAACTGCCTCCTGGCCAGAAAGAAGCTATGGAATAAGTAAAGGTAACGCTAGTGACTTACTAAGCCCACAGGGCTGGACCCGTACGATCCAAACGCATGGTACATTTATCTGGCATTATTTCCCGAGGGATCGCTGTCCTCATATCGTCACTTTTTGAACAGTGCTCATATTCAGTGGTCCTTGCAACTTGAGAAACCACAATAAGATTCCAACGAGAAAAATGTCAAAGAATTCCTTTTGTAAGAAATGTAATTTCCCATGATTGCCATCTACCTTGATTCTCGTACTGTTCAGCACAAACGTGAAATGGTGGCCCAAGTCGAGTGTCACCAAGTGGATCCGAAATGCATAAAAAAGAATCAGTAAAAAATAATGGCAATTGTGTATGGGAATTGTAATGTCTCCTTAAAGATTAAAATATTTACTCAAAGGAAAATGGCCAATACAAACTATTCGAAAAAAAGGACTAGCACAGTACCGAAATGCGTGTACATGTAAGAGCAATATCAGCAACAGCACGGACAACACACATCCTGACCCCTATAACCTGATGGGGTATAATTTTACATGTTATCTATGTAAACAAATATCACTCGAAGACGGTCGAAGACGTTAAGTTATTTACACAGTAACAATCAAAATCAAAGAGTCCATAAACATGGTTTAATATTTGACAGCTTTTGTTCCACGATTATCAGGTTATCCAAAGACTACGGGGGGAGGTTTTTGTTACCGTTAGTCGGTTTGTTTGTGGAGAGCATGACGTTAAACGGATATTGATAAATCTCAGGATAGGTCACAAATGACCCAAGAAAAAAATAATTATATTTTGGTGATAATCCAGTAATAAATTAATTCGTCTTTTATAGACGTGGCGAACGACCCGAAAGACGCCCTAACATTAATGATAAATGTTGGCATCTAATGACGAATTGCTCGGACAGATACCCTAAAAAGATGCTAATTTGATGAAATTATTTCTAAGCTTGCGGGTAACATTTTAAATTTGTAAAACCCCTTTTATACTGGACGGCGTCCTTTTTGCGTCATTTGTGCGACCATGAAACTGGCATCGTTGTGGGCGTAAAAAAGGAGGCACAAGCATAGCTTTTGTTGCAAAATGAATGCTCATTGATCGGCCTGTTGTCGGCTCGTAAACTATTTTTTCTTCAAAACAGGACCGTACAACGGGACGCAAGAAGAACGACGTCCAATGTAAAGGAGGCTTAAACGGTAGCCTTATCGATGATTTTTTTCACATGCAAGGAGTCCATTATTTGATTGAAATACACCATTTAAGCACAAGTCGGTCACAAAAAATTCTAGAGCACATACGGACGATGACAATGGCGGAATGTGGCAAATAATGTTTTACATGACAAAAGTTTTTGAAATGACAGATAGAAAAAACTGGTTTTGATACGTTTGTAAGGAATGCAAAAAGTGAAACTGACACTCGGTATTTGGGTAAACCATTTTTCATCAAGAAAGCATTTTGTTTCAATAAGTTGCACTGAAGAAGGGTTTTCATGGCATTATATTGTTTGTTTGGAGCCTCTCCAGAAAAAAAGACTGATAACTGAATATATATAATATGTTTATATTTCAGAGATCAACCCGGAAGTATGCCTAAAAGTATTTTTGTATAAGTACTATTGGATATATGTCCTGAGCAATTTTAAAATACTCGGGCATATGCATGCGCAGATCTAGGATTTCTGAAAGGTGGGGTCCAGAGGTGTTCAAGGGGGTGGGGGCATACACGGCAGTCGGATTAAAACATCAATAAAATAATTAAATATTAGGTTTAAAAAAAGTATACATTACTGAATACTCCAATTGTTTTTATCAAGTCGCGCGTACTCTGAAAAGACCGATTATAATTATTACTATCTAAAATGCAAGAAGGGATAATATTTAGTACTATTTTTGTGTGGATACAAATGACCCATGAAGTGGTAAATATCGCTAAGTCGCCTCAGGGTCCTTATTTTTTCACCAATGAAATCGCCTTCCTTCACGATTTAGAGTTGATCCCATGATGTGGTAATTTTTTTTAACAACATTTATTCAAAAGAGATGGAGGCAAGGTGCTGGAAGCATTATATGCTCTCCACAATGTGGTAATATACTATGAAGTATCTTAACATACGTAGTTATCAGTAACTAAATCCTACAAAATATTTTACATTTATTATTTTTTCTTTTGATTAGTAAAAAATGCAGAGATTGTAGACTCATTAAATGTGATAACATATTATTGATTCTGTTTTCATTCTTATTGTTCTTTCATTTTGACTTGTGCATCTTGAGTTAAGAGAGATGTATTTAAATTCCTACCACATGCGAATTACATTACACAAAGTGTACAAGGTTATAAAAATTTATCAACTAGCACAGGAATAATTGAATTGAATCGAAATTTCATACTTTAAAATATCCATCGTTAGCATTTAATTATGTTATTTGGAATCATGAAATAAGACAAACATTAAAGGGATAATAACTCTTCGTTTCGGCCAAAAAATGAATTTTCCTGGAGTAAACAACAATTTTTCCATACTTACCAATGGTTAGTGAATCCATTTTTACATGCAAAGTTAGTCCCTGTTTTTTTTCTAAAAAGTTTGGTTTTTTGTTAAAATCTCTTGAGAGATTATAACAGAGTATAGCCATCAATGGAGGTCACGTGGTCTAAAGACAAGCTCAGATATCAGAATAATAGCTATAACTGCCGTTTTTGTGGAATATATTATATTTCTATGAGTTATTCACAATGTTTTTATTGGGAAATATAGATCTCGTACGAAGAGTTATTATCCCTTTAATTGTGTACCAGCAGATTATTTTTTCTTGAAAACTTAATTTCGTAATTTAAGCAGCATATTATTCACTGCAAAAAAATAAAATTAAAAAAAAAACAATAATAATAATAAAATTGAGTGCAGTTCTTTTACTTCAAAAAGAAAGTGGGGTGAGTACCAATGAAAATATTACAATGACAAAGATACTTTACGCCTTGAGTTAACTCAACAGAGTTATGAAATATGCATCTGATAACCATCTCAAATTATAATGGAAAAAATTGGTCTAAAAAAACTGATACAAACAACTGGTTTCAGTAAATAAATAAAAAAACAGGACTAGAAACAACACCGAAATGTGTAAAACAACGACATCAGTAATATCATGAACAAAATGCGTCTTAAAAAGATGACAATACTCAGTAAGACATTCAAAATTCCACAAGAAAAACAAGTAAAAAGACATAGAAATGCTATAAATTCTAATTTTACCACCAAAACGTCACTTATTCTGAAATCTGTGCTAACCATCGGACCATATTGACCTTCACAGATGGCTACTCCCGTAATTATCTCTTAAGAAATTATTATGAAAAAAGCTTACTTATAAAAACATGGATTAATTTTGAATGTCGTGACGGATTCATTAAACATTGGTTAGTATGGAAAAATCGTCGCCCTCCATCGATAATTGTAGCACAGTTATTATCCCTTCAACCTCTTTAACCTGATGAAGTACAATTTTACATATTATCTATGTGAACAAATATCACTCGAAGACAGCTGTCTGAATCAATAGGTTATGTACACAGTAGCGATCAAGATTAGAAACGACCCATTAACCTGGTGAAGTATTTGGCAGTGTGTATTCAACCATTATCACATTATACAAAGACTAATTCATCCATTTACTTTATTGATTAATTTACTTTATTTAAATGAAATTAGTTTTTTAACGCACAATTTTACCTAAACATTCCTACAACAGGAAATGTTCAGAAATATAGGTTTAATAAATATAATATCATTAAGAAGAGCATTCAGAATGTAAAGAAGGATTTTTATCTTGATATACTCAGGTTTTAGATCACTATGAATGTACCGTCTTTCCAAAATCATATTCTCATGTCTAAATTTACGGAAAAGCTACTTATCTTTTCCAATTCCAGGCCTTTAAACAATAAAAATCTTTAAATGAAATTACCCGATGTGAGTATTTCTTTCTGAAATCTAAGGTAGATGGATACCGGTGTAAAGGAAGCATGTTCTTTTAGAACTAAGTCGTTTAATTGGAAATGGTACGGAAACGGGTCGAGCTGGATTCGATAGAAATCAAATTAGGTGAGGAATATCCGGTAAAAATACCTTTACCACGTTTTTAAAACTGAAAATCCGCCTCTAAATTACCCAAGGCCTACATGTATATCTGTCATTCCCATTTATAATACACAGCACAATCGAGTTGCATTTCTCGTTTAAAAATCGGCTCACAGCACCATGGGTCCGTATCCAGTGGTATACTAAGCAAAATCCTTCGGCTAAAATCGTTTGCAAAGTCAGTACCCACGATGTTCTTTTCTACGTCTCACTTTTCGCTCAAGGTTATATGTTCACGCAGAGATTTTTTACTGAACTTATGCAATGTTCGATATTTCTCGCCATCGAGCGATAAAGCTGCTAATGAACCACTAGCGCCCTCGACATGGAATTACTTCATGTTTTCCATATGTCACCACTGTTATGTTCCCTGCACACCGTGTCTTATCAGTTGGTAGTTCCCTTGCCTCTTACATAGATATAGAAGTGAATTTATATATAACTTTAGTGCATTTCTTGTTTTTTAAGTTGTCTACTGAGGAAAAAGAAAGACGCCTGATTCAATTTATCCATTTGATTTCCCTGATGATCATGAAACCGCCCCAATATAAAATGTTCTTTATCTACATACGCATATAAAAGTAACTGACGCCGGATACTCACAAGACACTGTTCATCCCACTTATAAATAAATACTGCATCATGTAATTGTTATCATTTATGGCCGTGATTATGCTCAGGCGTACGTATGCTTATTTATAAGGTATTTAGTAAAATGTCCAATTTTTCCCTTGCGATATGGGCGTTTACGGTTTCTGCATCTCGATAGCGTGTCCAACAATCTTTTAAAAGATTCCACAGAGGTTTACTTTTACGATCCAAACACGTGGTATCTGGGGTTATTCCTCGGCAGATCGCAGCTCTCATGTCATCATTGTCTGAACAGTGTTCATATTCAATAGGTCTCGCAGCTTTTCCGTGGATGAGAAACCACAGTAACATTCCAAAGGCAAAAATGTCAAAGAAATATTTTTGTAAGGAATGCCATCTCCCGTGATTCTCGTACTGTTCAGCACAAACGTGAAATGGTGGCCCAAGTCGGGTGGTACCAAGTGGATCCGAAATGCAGTCGATCGATATCTTTCCTCGCTGTCCAGCAACCTTGCAAAATTTTACAATTACATTGAATAATATCCATGCATATTATTATTCTACATACATGTATGTCAAACCTCCAATAAAGTAACTTAGAAATGTATCTTGATTTAAAATTGATATTGGAATAGAATGCGGGCTGACGCTAAATTTCATTCAAGTAATAATAAACATACTGGAGAAATCTGGATTTCAACTTTTAAATGAATCCTCTTTTTTTCTTGAATCGGTGAAAAGGGGTCTATTATTATACAGAGTCGGATCCAGGATTATTTGAAGGAGGGGGGTCTGCGGATGCTGTAAGGGCCCCGTTTTTTTTTAGTATTTTAGGGGGTGAACAATGCCATTTGGTACCCTTTTATACTATAAATTGGCTTGTCAAAATTCTAATTACAAGAGGGGAAAATTACTGTGATTTTTTTTCAAAAAACGAAAGAGGGGGGTCAGGACCCCCCCCCCCCCCCTGCCCCCATCTAAATCCGCCACTGTTTATAGAACATTGATATGCAGTGGTCGAAGTCGAAAAGAGCAGTGTTTCATTTCAGATATACGCTATGCTTTATTGCAAAAAAAAAAAAAAAAAAAAAAAAAAGACATACCTCGATCGTACTGGGGTGAGGTGAGGTGTGCAAACAATGCAAACATTACAAAAACAACGATAATTTATGCCTGGAGTCAAGTCAACGGATCTATATGAAATAAGCATCTGACATAATGATATAATAATATTATCATGGTATAATTTAGTATAAACATAAATGTCATCAATCAAAAATAATGGTAAGTGTGTATACGTAGTCCTGAGTGTAATGTATCCTTTAAGACCAAACTTATGTTTGAAAGAAAATGGCCGATATGAATTGGAATAAGTAAAAAAATAAAGAAAGGCCTAAAAACTGCACCTAAATGTGTATAACAGCGATATCAGTAATATCGTGGACAACACATAGTTCTTATAAGCTGAAGGAGTATAATTTTAAATACATTACCTATGTGAACAAATATCGCTCGAAGACAGTCGTCTACGTTAATAGGTTTTGTTTACATTACACAGTAACAATCAAGATCAATAGGAGCCCAATAGCAGGTGTAATATTAAGCAGCTCGTGTTCAACGATAATGAAAAGACTGATTCATCCATTTTTTCCCTTTGTTTTCGTTTAATAATTCATTTCCTTTAAATTATTTAATCTATTTAATTTATTTCTGTGTTTTCATATAACATTTTATTTAAAAATTCCTAGAATAGGAAAAGTGCAAATATATATAGGGATAATAAATAATGAAAGTATTGAGAAGAGCATCCAGAATGCCAAAAAAAAAAAAAAAAAGGATTTTACCTTGATATGCTCAGGTTTTAGATCGCTATGAATGTACCCCACGGAGTGCATGGCTTCCATCCCCTGAGCGACATCTCGGGCGATGGCGATCCTTGAATGTAGGCTGGTCAATCTGTCGTCGGCCGCGGCGACCATCTCAAGCAGATCACAGTCAAAGTATTCGGTGATGACATCAATGTGATTGGAGCAGGGCATCAACCATCCACGTAATTTCAAGACGTTTTCATTTTCCACTGGGAAATTGTCCCTGGGTAAATACGATATTAAACTTTTAAATATAAAGAAAAACAAAAACGATTAATAGGCGGCATGTTATGAGACTTCAAAAGTAAGAATAATTATTGTATCGTTCCTATCGACTTTCCACAAGTAAAAATATATGAATCAATCTTGATGTGTGTGTTAGCCAAATCAAAAGTACAAGTGAGTTTGCTTACTTTGCATAAATTAGTTGGATTGCCTGTTCCTCCACATCATTTTCGTGAACCTTTTTTATTTCTCTCACTTTCGAATGACCCTCACATTGTTTAATGATATGTGTGCATAAACGGCGCCATCCATCCTCTAAGTCGCCCTGTTCCTGGTGCGCATTGACCACTCTATCCAATTTACACGATTCCAGTGCAAAATTTACCGACAGCCCACGAGCACTTAAGACAGACAGGCTGGCATTGTACTTCTCAAACCGTTCTTGGCGACGAGATCGCCACACGCTGTCGCTGAAAATACTTTCAGAAAGACTTGCAGCGAGTTTGTCCCAGATTATTCCGATCTCTCCCAGCATGTGGCTTCTCAGTTTTTCAGCTAATCGGCTTCTCTCAAGGGTTTCAAGAAGTTTCTCTGCGAATCTTAACTGCCACGATTTGGGATCGTCTCGGTCTAACTGCAAAGACTTGCTATAATGATGTAGTTCCGGCTTGCTGATACTGTCCATTATATGACGCACATTTTGATCTATTCCGCGTTGCAGTCGCTGAAATGTATCGTCTGTCAGAGATACACATATTTCGAACCCTTTACTAACATTACGCTCTGTTTCCAGAGAATAAATTCTTCTGATATCTCTTTTTAACCTTTCACTGCTGACCGCATTGAAGTCAAATGTCAGCTCCTCTCGAAATTGAGGATTGAGTCTGTCTATGCGTTTTCTCACCTCATCTTCAAAGCATTTGCAAGCACGGTCTATGAATATTTCCAGAAAAGTTGAATACTCCTGGGTTAGGTTTGAAAAATCAACGTGAATTTCTGAAGGGTCCAATACACCTTCAAATGGGTCACTGGAGTCGACAATGGCGCTTAACCTCGACTTACAAGTTGCTATGCCATCACGAACAATTGATTCAAACTTGAGCCTCTTGGTGAGCAATTCTGTGAACTGCTCGTGCCATCTTCTGGCCATCTTTTTGAGGTCTTCGATGTTTTCGCGAATCGCATCTGCATCCCTTGGCATGTCTCGGCATACCTTCCTCAACTCTGTGAAAGACCGATTGTGGCAGTCAAGGATGTTTTGAACTAAAAAAGCGAGAGATTCCAGTTGTCTGTTTTTCAAGTTTCCTTTTAGAATTGCCCGAAGTTTCTCTAAGTCACGGATGGAGTCATCTTTCACTCCTTTCTTGAGTGCTTCCCTTATCTTTTTGTTAGAAATGGCGAAGAAGTGGTCTTCTTTGTCTTCAAAAGAAATATAACCGCCATTTAATAAGTCATTTTTCACTGTTTCCATCTTTTGCTCTGGAGAGTGAAAATTGACCATTGCAAAATTATCTTCGCTAGCAAGAGCATTCATCCAAGCTGCCTTTGCGTCGATATCGTTGTGTGTACACACATAGCATATTGACACGGATGGTAGTTTTTCTCGTATTCCTGCTATGTTTTTTTTGTCCTAGAAACATAAAATGTCACTTCTGAAAAAAGGGTTTGAAAAGTATAGGGCGCATTTAGGAGAAATTGATTCGCGGACTAACGGGCATTACGCGGTAAGCTTTCAAGAGGGTTAGCCATATTTGATCCGTGGATCTGTTAGTTTGCGGATCATCTTTGGTTGGGGATGCAGCCTAGTTTCTCTCTCTCTCTTGCGATAAATCTAAGAAGTTTAGATTTTAGTTCTTTATAACTTTATAACTCGCGCTTTAGTTGGGGTACTAAATTTGCCAGAAAAAACAGCGAAATGCATAACATAGTTCTGCCATGATTAGTAAAATTAGTTAAATTAACAGATTAGTAAAATAATCTGAAACCATACTTAACAATCAATATACACAACAAAGAAGGGCATCCTTATGCAGAAAGGTATTCTGTACTTCTTTCCAAAGGATTTCTGTACGTCTTTCCAAAAAAATATTTTTATGTCACAATACACTTATCTTTTCCAATTCAAAACTTAAAAACAATAAAACACTTCAAATGAAATTACCCGATGTGGGTATTTCTTACTGAAATTTCAGGTAGATGGATATCGGTCTAAAGGAAGCATGTTTCGTATATAAGTTGCTTGATTAGAAATGGTACAGATCATGGAATCCAAGTGCAGGAACGGGTCGAGCAGTGATTTGTGAGTGGGAGAAAAATGACTTTTTTCTTTATGAAAATTAAATTGGGTGTGGAAAATCCCGTATAGAATACCTTTACTATTTTTAAAAAGATATAAATCCGCCTTGAATTACCTGAAGCCTGAATCCATCATTCCCATTTATAACATACAGTACAATTGGGTTGCAATGCTCGTTTAACAACCGGGTCACATCGTCATCGATTTGAACAGTCTCTCCGTATCCAGGTGTGTCCAGTAAGCCAAATCCTTCGGCTAAAAAATCGTTTGTTAAGACAATGCTCACGATGTTTTTTTCTGCTTCACGCTTTTCTCTCGGTGTTATATGTTCACGCAGAGATTTTTTACTTAGCTTATGAAACTTTCGGTAATTCTCGACATCGATCGATAAAGCTGCTAATGAATCACTAACGCCTTCGACAGGAATGCCTTCGTATTTTCCATGTTTCACCACTGTTGTTTTGCCCGTACATGGCGTCTTACCAGTTGGTAGTTCCCTTGCCTTCTTACATAGGTTTAGAAGTGAATTTGCCAGCGAACTTTTCCCGCTATTACATCTACCTAAGATGAGTAACAGCACTGGAAGGTTGATCCTCTCATCAACCTTTTCTATATCCTCGCGTAGCTTTTCGTAGGAAACACCGGATTCTTCACTCATTTGCCGAATAATTTCTTTTGTGTCAGTTGTTAGAGCTCGTATTTCGTTTTTTATAACATTGAGATTTGTCAACCGACTTCCTTCCTCAAAATTTGCCATCGCCATTTTGACAAGGTTGCACGTGATGTCTTTTGTGATTTTATTTCTATCGGAAATTGCGATAGGTGTTATTGTCTGCACTCTTTAAACCTGATAAGAAAAACGGACTTGCGACAAAGCGAATAAGTTTTAACTTAAAATATTAATTCAAAATCAGCGAACGTTATTTTCACGAGGTCAATCAACCTGAAGTAGAAGGGTTACTTTTATAATTTTGCTGCATATTTGCAATGATTTGTTTTAACAATTGGATTTTAATTGAAGTTAAAGGGGGTGAATCAAAATAAACGCCCGCTTCAAGTGTGTTTTTTTCTTACACAGTAAAATGAGAATTCACATCTAAATATCAGGATCACTTTTAAGTATTAAAATACTGTAAATCTGTATTGAACCAAGATTTCTAGAAAATGCAGATGAAGCTCTAAAACGCATCACTCTGGGTGTGTGGAATGCATTCGCGTTGAGTGTCAAAGAGATGTTACCACAGTCACCGATTTAAACTTTTTTATGTGCCAGAGACAAAAAAGTTTGGTACCCTCCAATTTGAATTGACTGAAAACAAAATCATCCAGAGGGAAACTGGCACAGCCTGGAAGATCATAATACAAGATAGTACAAAACACTTGATTCATTTTTCTACAATGTTTTTCTATAATCTTTCAGTGAATAGTCTACCACAGTTTACATAAAAATCAAAGCGGCCATGAGATATAAGTAAAATGCCAGGTACATGTAACTCTAAAACACTGGAAGTTTGGGTCTGGTATTTATTCTTCCCATCCGATACGTGATTAACAAAGGTAAGTGCCCTAATTTAAAGAAATAAGAAGAAGAAAATCTGCATAAATGTAATGAAAAATTAATTGATGTGCCGTTATATATTTACTTTGAGAGACTTCAGAATTTACTTCGATATATATGCACATTGTGCGTGGTGTCTACTGACATTGTGTACGATATCCGCATCATTTTTTCATGGACATGCCCAGAGAATGTATTATATTTAATTTTTATGCCATGTTTGCCCTCAAATCACAGAATTTGAGGTCGGCTTCATTACTTATAAAGCAATATAAATGACTATGTGTTGGAGAACCAGATTTTCTTTTGGGCGCATTTTTCCAAACTTAGTTTATCTTAATATGTGTGTTTTCAATCTGATTTATTTATTTTGTGTACTCCACAAGAGTGGATAAAAAAGCCGAGTGCTTTGTTCTTTAGTATGTTTTATCTTTATTTCGATTTAAGGAAATTTTACGTTACATTATTTTGACGCAAATGTTTGTGCTGCTTATCTTGGCTAATTCGTACCAATCTTATCGGTGCTTATTTCTTGTCGTTTTTTGAGCAGCCGCAAGCATGTGAAAAACTTGTTACAAAAATTGGATAGTGGGTAGAGGTAAAACAAAAACATATTCAAACAATGAGGGGAATTTCTGCCTATCGTCTGTTAAACGTCAGTTTCCACAGATTGCAAAGTAGACCATTCTCTTCTCGAGCAACTACCAGAGCTTCCCGTGGTCATGGCCGGTCACACGAGCAGGCTCTCATGGACGTCGCCAAGGTCAGGAACATCGGAATCATGGCGCACATCGATGCAGGGAAAACGACAACCACGGAAAGAATGTTATTTTTCTCCGGGTTAACTCGCCATATAGGTACATAACAAGCTGACAGGTTATCTACTTATCTGAGTTAGAACCGTACTTGGTACATGTATTTGATGTTTGATGATATGTTTCAATTAAACTGTTGTAGAGGTGGCAAACATTGATATTGTCGTGAAGGGGCAACAAATACTGGTTAAGGACGTATTACAGTTGCTTTAGAATTAATAAAAAATGGGGCAGTTCTAGTTTTCAGCGCCTCCCTCCCCCCCCCAAAAAAAAAAAAAAATCAATAAAATAAAATAAAACAATTTATATGAATAGAAGATTAAACATAAACCTAGGGAAATGAGGGTTTTGATAAATATTATAACTGAACACCTGTCAGGTGTGCTAGCTGGTACAAATTACCCTAACTGAAACCCCGATACATAAATTGAAGTACTAGATAATGCTCCAAAATTATAACAGACAAATGCTTTATTTGGCACCTTTTTGCAGCTGTTTATTATTGATATTGCAGGTAATGTTGACAGAGGTGATACAGTGACTGACTATATGGACCAGGAGAGAGACCGAGGTATTACCATAACCTCTGCAGCAGTAACATTTTATTGGAATGATCACAAAGTGAATCTAATAGATACACCAGGTAAGGAGAAAAGAACATAAATGACATCTATGATAGCCTAATCAAGACTGTCAGCACTGCTTAATAGGTGAATATGAGTGAGGGTGAAACTCTATGCACGAAGAATAATGTCATAGAAAGCAATACAAAAGTAACACCCTAAACATGGTGAATTCCTACTGTTCTGCAATAGACTGAAATCCAACAGAGATGACAACCAGAAGAATATACATGCATCTTTTCTGTCAGTTTCTGTGAGTTGCCACTCCATGCTCTGTATTCTGCCATTATTTCTAACTCCACTCTCTTCAAAATCCTGAAAAATCTCACTTGATTTTATAGCAAGTCTGACAATTTTTGGCTATCTCGATTGATTCTCACTGAAAACATTTTACCCACCCATTATTGTCATATAAGTTGCCTGGAACTATCAGTCATAAGCATGGCAGATCATACTGTGGCACCACATGGTTTTCTTCACAATATTTCATGAGGAAGGAATTTTATTTATACATTATTACTTTTATTTCTACATCATTACAACAAACATAACAAAGAACAGTGGCCAGTCATAGGCACGGATGAGTTTATCCAAGCTGAAGTAATTCTAAGCCAGATATGACATGGGTGCTTTTGGTTTTTAAAAATAGAAATAAGATGAAAACTGCACACACTGCATAGAAGTCGACTGATGCCAATCAGAAATTCATAACATGAATTGTTCATAAAATTTGATGGATTTTATTTTATCATTTAATGTGGATTGGTCTTTATGTAATTTGTTTGCAAAATTTGTTTGCTTGACTTTAAAAAATAAAGAAATTTATTAACATACCACCGGTCCTATATTTTCAAATGAAAACTCTGCTGATAGAGATTGAACTTAAGTATGCTTTAATACCTGGTAAATGTATGAAGTGATGTGTTTATAATGCTATATATCCGTTATTTCTCATATTCGTATTTGTGTAATTTCTTTCTTTTAGGACACATAGATTTTACAGTAGAAGTTGAAAGATCTCTGCGAGTGCTGGATGGTGGTATTGTAGTATTGGACGGATCAAGAGGCAAGTCTTTACAGTAAATTTCAACAACTAATTAATTGTAATTAACTGTAATTAATAATAACTAATTGTCGTTGCATTACCATATTTCTCAAATATTAATGGAAGTGGTCTCTGGTAGTTGAGGATTCACAGTGTATCCATTTTCAGATTAATGATATTTTAAAAAGCAAAAAAAAATGTTTCAGTATTAATGCATTTGTATATTGTAATTTGTATGTTGTATATTGTATTGAATAGCATTTGAAAATTGCAGCCTAAAACAAAATTCAGTGGTGTGCTCTTCTTGCTTTACTACCGTAACTATAACTTAATTTGTTTGTTATACATCTACATGTATAACTAGAAAAGCACTCTGAGAGCACAGACCTCCGCTGAGGCAGCAATTTTTTATTATTATTGATTATTGATTGATTATTGATCCGATCACCTCTAAAAACTAATCTTCTCTTCCTTGGCCCACTTCTGACAGTTCCTGAAAATTTCATCAAAATCGGTCCATAACTTTTTGACTTATGTTGATGACAGACAGACAAACAAACAAACAGACAAACAGGGGTGAAAACATAACCTCCTTGGCGGAGGTAATAAATAAGTTGTTGTTTCAAGTATTCCAAGTTAACTTCAAATATAAATCTTTTTACTATTTGTAGGGGTAGAAGCACAGACAGTGACGGTGTGGAGACAGGCTCATAGATATGGCGTGCCTCGTATTGCTTACATCAACAAACTGGATAAAGCCAATGCAGATTTTGAAGATTCATTGAACTCTATTCAGAAAAAGCTCCACATTTTACCACTACCATTACAAATTCCTGTGTTCTCAGAAGATAAGATTTGTGGCGTGGTGGACCTGATAACCATGGAAAAAGTGGTTTGGGACAGAAAAGATGAAGCCAGCGCAGGTCCACAAAGAGCACCTGTTACAAAAGCTGATGATGACTTGTGGGAGAGGAGCGAGGAAGCAAGACTCAATTTGATTGGTGAGCTGGCTGACATCGATGAAGAGATTGCTTCTCTTGTTTTGGGTGACATCAAAGTACAGGATATACCTCCACAGAAAATCCATAATGCTGTCAGGAAGGTGACATTAGATAAAACAGCACTCCCTGTCTTATGTGGAAGCTCATTAAAGAACATTGGTGTCCAACCTTTATTAGATGCTGTCAATCTCTATCTCCCAAGCCCAGATGATATTCAGCACGATTTCAAAAAATTCTACAAGGATTCACTATGTGCCCTGGCTTTTAAGACCATTCATAATCAACAGAGAGGCCCGGTAACTTTTCTTCGATTGTATAATGGGTCACTAAAATCTGGTGATTCTTTGCATAACTTGAATAGGGAATGTGTTGAGAAGGCCTCGCGTTTGATCAAAGTGTTTGCTGATGAATTTGAAGACATAAAGTCAGCTTATGCTGGGGATATCGTTGCAGTGATCGGGCTGAAAAAGGTATTAATATGTGATTGACGTGCATTTAGTTTACTAGACAACAACCCTCACCATGTATTTTTGGTTAATTTTATTTTTTGCAGGCAGGTTAAGTATGGTATAAAAGTTAAAATCTATGTGTAATTCCTTAAAAATATCTACAGTGTATGCTAACTGATGCTTACTAATTATGTTACTGTAATTTAAGTTGTGGCTGTGAATTGTGCAATTATTGCTATATTATGTATATCAAACTGATTAGCAAAAAGTAAATTATTTGTAAAGCTGGATGCTGAAACTGCCCTTTTCCTATTGCAGACTTTCACAGGAGACACATTATCAGACAGAAAACACCAAGATTCAAAAGGAAATTATGTACTTGCTGGGGTAGAAGTTGGAGAACCAGTGTTTTTTTGTTCTGTGGAAGCATCATCTCTGACAGAGCAGGCTGCTTTGGAACAAGCACTGGAAAATCTACAAAAAGAAGACCCTAGTTTCAAGGCAAGTCTTTGCTTGGGGTATTTGAAGTTGTGGATATCATTCTTTGGTCTATTTTGCCTTTGATTGTCATTTTATTTCCAAGTTCATCAATATTGACAATATTCATGTAAGCTACACACATATATATATATATTGTCAACAAGAAAGAAACTGGTCGGGGCAAAAAAAGTTGCTGTTCTTTTTTTCTTTTTATTATATATAATATTACTCGTACAGGAAAAACGTTTTTACTTTTAATGTATTTATATATATATACACTTAAAGCCAAGTATGTTTTATTCTCAAAGGTTTAATATTGTTACTGTTTTTTGGTTGTTAAAAATGTACTTCCTCTGTGTCTTTTTTTTTTTTTTTAACCTTAATTGCTACTTTACAGGTTTGGGTGGATGAAAGTACTGGAGAGATAAACATTGGTGGAATGGGGGAACTCCATATTGAGATCATAAAACACAAACTTGTCACAGAATATAAACTAGACCCCTATATGGGTCCATTGCACGTTTCATACAAGGAAACAGTAGCTGCGTCTGCAACAGAGACATACACCCTGGATCAAACTATTGGCAACAAGCACCATCATATAGTGGTTTCCATGACAGTAAATCCAAACCCTGGTAAGGGAATTCCTAGAAAATTGGAGCTGGTGCATCATGGGGAAGACAATTCTTTGCTGCATTTGAGACAAGACCATGTGAAGGCTTTGACAGAAGGAGTGCACACTGCCTTGCTACAAGGTTAGTCTGCAGCAGCGTTATTTATTTAAAAAAAACAGTAACTTGTCTTATATTTTATCCTCCTGAAAAAGATTAAGGGTACCTTTAGGACTTTATTTTAGTACATTTTTTTTTCATTTCTGTAATGTTAAGATATATTTTTTATATTTTTTGTAGTTTTGAATTAGTTGCATTGGCTACCAAAACTTGTGTCGCTTATTGATTCAAATGATTTATTAAAAAGTTTAACATCAATTTCTTTCATATTCTAATATTCTAGGACCCATTCTGAACTTCCCAGTGACTGATGTGAAGGTAGAGCTCCACAGTCTTCAGATAGAAGGTAGGACAACACTGCCAATGATATCAGCTGCTGCCACACAGTGTATTTCCCAAGCCTTGAGCAATGCAGAACCTTTACTTTTGCAGCCCATGATGTCAGTGGAGGTGAGGTTATTTGGGGCCAAAATTGGGGAGGTTTTGTGCAAATGGTTAAGTATGAGTGTAAAAAATGAAGAGGCTAGTTTGCAGTTTGTGCTTTATAGTTTGTGTTTGAAGTGTTGGTTAATTATTTAATGTGTTGCTTTAGTAGATCAAGGATATATGTATACAATTCTTTTATGTTTTTCTTTATTTATGAAGGATTTTGTTTGGTAATTTATTTATTTTCCAAGGCAAAACAATTAATTTTAAAGTTTTTTTTATCAAAAACAATTTTCATTTAAGATTTTCACAGAAGTCGAAAGGATTGGTGGAATCCTGGATGATCTGAAAAATAGGAAAGGCACAATCGAAAATGTTGAGAACAAGGGGGGAGCCCACATTATAACAGCCCTCTTACCACTGGCAGAAACTACAGGGTATGCCACAAACCTGCGCCGCATCACTTCAGGACAGACCACCTTCTCCATGGAGTTGTTGGGATACAAAGAAATGGACCCAAATGAACAGAATGCATTGTGTGAGAAAATGGGAGCAACAGGTTTTTAACCTCTTTATCAATGGCAGCTTCAAAAGATGTTAAGAAGGTCAAGAGAAAATTTGCCCTGTGGAGTCTCTTTCACCATTTAAGAAGTCTCTTTCACCACGTAAGAGAGGTTCATTCCTGGGGAATGGAAGGAGAGAAAGGAGGCGATGTAAATAGAGGACCCCTGTTCTCAGTCAGACTTTATTATAATTGGTGACTCAAAAACACAATCACTTTCACAGCTAAAGCACTAAGATTTCCAGTTGCAGCATAGGAGTGCTTCTGTTCAAAGCTAGGTCATGCAGACGACTTTGCCTCACATTTTCAGCTCAGGGGGGCCATTCTCTCAAAGCTTTTAAAGGAAAGCAAAGCAATTAATGTCAGCAGTGGAAGTAAGTGAAAATTGGCCCTTTTTCCGGTTTATGAAAGTACAGGTCTTTGATTTATTTACTGCAAGATTTTTTTGAAATTCATCAATAATCATCAAATAATATAAAACATTTCATGAGGAAAACAACTGTGGGCATAGTAATAGCCTGAAAGTGATATTTTGTATGAATTGATAGTCTACAACATGCCAAAGTTGTCTGTGTTACCTAGTTTGGAAACAAGGTGCAAACATATGATTCCTGTGTTGGTGTTGCTATGAAGACTTGATGTCAAGATTTATTACTAGGTGAACCCATTCTCATCTTATGAAATTCCTTGGGTGAGTTTGGTGGAGTTCTTTTACTGACTAATTAAAACATTTGATCAACTAAGGTCCAATATATGAAAATTGACACCTAGATCAATAAAATTATGTCAGTTGATCCGGTTTTTGATTTCAGGATCATTCATTAGACATTGGGTGTGGAGTGTATTCATTGCAAGCATACGTAATACTGCATTCACTGTTAAGCATAAAACTGCATTCACTATTCCTAAAACAAGAATTTAGAACAGTCATTGTCTTTGCAAGATATGTAGACATTAAAAATTTGGGACATCTTCAAATACAGAATGTATGTCTTTAAATATAAAGTATTTTTTATTCTAGTACAATGTGAACAATTCATTTACAAGAAAAATGTAGTTTTTTCTCCCGTTTAACAAGAAATAAAAATGCTACCTGTTGACATGCAATAACAAGGGGTAGGTGTGCTCTCCATAATTAAATGCACTATTTAAAATACGCAACATTTTTAAAAGAACTGAAATACACTACATACGTAAAAATAATAATTATGGCAAATACATATCCAGTACTTATATATGAAATACTGCAAGATAATAACCCCCATATTGCTAGTTCTATGTAAAGTTCACTCCACTTACATATATACCAATAGGACAGGACTGGTTAATACAATTGGTCTCACATTTCTGATTATGATTATTCATACAGCAAAGCCCACATAATGAAAACTTTCAGAAATTAAAAATAACATTGCAGATACAAACTTAATTTCAACGTGGACTGGTAACAGGCCTCGAAATGTATTCTTTATATCAGCAGTATTACACAAGCATGAAATTAAGTCAAGCTTTTTATATAAATCAACACCCAGTTTTATCAAATAAAAACATGACCATTTAAGAATCTTATATTGAAACAGTAGCTGTAACAAAACTTAAACCACGGCTAGCGCGTAGAACAAAAGACTCGGCCGTGCTGTATGCGACATACAAGCACGTCATGTACGAGTGCGTTCCACGGTCTGTTGCACTACTAGTGTAGTAGCCAATCAGAGGCCGTGGTTTAAGCCAGATACAACACTCGTCGCCGAGCTGTACGTGAGAATTACTCGTGTATTGGCTCGCCAATACACTCGTAATATTTCACGTACAGCTCGGCGACTCGTATTGTATCTATCACTTAAATTTTATTTTCATCTAATAGTTACATAAAACAAGTCAATGAATGTTCTATTTAGACCCTTCAGGCTAGAGATGTATAATAAATACATTGACTAAAAAACAAATCATGATAATAAAGAAAACCCAATGATCAAGGTATTCTGTTAAAAACTAAATTTCAGCAGTTTAGTAGGGAAGCCCCTTCAGTCACAGTAAATATATACAGCCTAAAACGCATAACGAAATTTCAAAGTTATGGTAATGGCCTTGTAAGATGCAAGTTGCCTGCAGAAATTCTCAGTCGAAATTTGGCAGAGATACCTACTGTATGCTCTAAATAAAGCCTATAACCAGCCCAGGGATAGGACTTGAGGACGTTATTTCTTGTAGTCAAATCACCTGATAATATTAACTATATCAAACTTTTGAACCAAATCAATGACAAATTTGGCAAATTTTAGAAAAAATAAAACACTGGCATTTGAAATTTGTATTTGTTGGTTATTTGGCAAAAAATTTACCATTCAAGAGTCAGCCTTGCATTGCTTAAATGCTTAGTTGCAGTATATCCATACTAGAGACATCTGACCATGCAGCCAAGTGATCAATAACCTGAAGTTTACACCCAAGAGAGAGGCAATACATCATGGGGCCACTTCAGTTGAACATAGCCATGGGCATGACATTAAAAAACAATGCATAGTCATCCATTTTGTAACAGGACATTTATCTGGCAAACTAAATGAGAACATTTTCAAGCTAAATGTATGCTTATTTGCAGTCTGAAAAATTGCAGATAATCAAGGCAGGCCTTGCTGCCCGTATGTTGCTATGAAATTAAATGCAATACTGATAAAACAATAACATATAGGAACAAGAGATAGTTAAAAGAATATAGTTAACAATCCATATTCACACTGCCCTTGGTTCACTAGTCAGGCATTTGCTCAACTTCTACTTAAAAATACCAGTTTTCCAAAACTATCATACACATAATGGTGCTCATATAGGTAACTGGTGTACCTCTATAAATAAAACAAAGTTTCTATGCTATATATAATTCAGGCACAACTCATCAAACCCTATTGGTATGTTGTTTTCAAAGTAAAAGGGAGATTGCCATAACATTCAAGAACTGTACAAGATAAATGCTGTAAACAATATTTTAACATTTCACATCTACAGCTACAGCAGTTTCCTTGTGGAAGAAATGTCACAAAGTGCTCACTGGCACATGGTCACATTCACCAAGGCTAATTCATAAAGAGCAGCTTGTCCGAGGAACATGTTCTTCACACACCACACTTGTGTTTGTGAACATGACTTTTTAAATAAAAACATAATAGTCACCATGGAAACTTATCCCCTCATGTACATGTCCTCCCCATTTTGATTTTGGCATGTTCTTCAAGAAATTTTACCCACTCTCTATCCACTATGTGAACAAACTGGAACCCATGACAATTTGGCTCCAAACATGGAGGTATAAATGCAGTATTAAGTGATTACATCCTGATGAGAAGGCACCCACATTCTTGTAGCAAAACCCACTGCCTTTCAAACCCAACTTTTTAATATTAGTGTTGTAAGCAAATAATCTGACCACAAGAAGTTTAAAGAACTTTAATGGATTTCTGAGATAAAGAGAACAGCAAATTCATGCTTTTTCAGAAAAAAATTAAATCATATGAAACGTATCTGATCCATGTCCACATAACTAGGAGTCAATTAAGTTCTGAAGATGTCAACTCTTGGTTATATACAGTGGATATACATCAGTCCATTGTTTAATCCATAATGGTGGTTTATCAAGTTCTATAACGTCTTTGTCCTTTCTAACAGTTCTTCAATAAATTTCTGGAAAAAAAGAGCAGGCAATGAATGTTTACACACAGCTTCAACATAAATCAATGGTTTTATTTTTACAAAAAAAAAAAAAAAAATCTTGTGTGTGAAAAAAATTTACCAGAATTCAAGGTTGTGTATTGAAGTGAAATTGGACAAATGGTAATTTATATCAATCATGAAGATATTCAATACAATCTTTTCTTTGGTTAACCTCAATTTCAATATAAGATAATAAGATAATACAGAAATCAATAAGATAATACAGAGATCAAGACAAAAAGGGAGGGACCACACTAAGAGCAAAATTTTATCTATAAAAGTGTCACCTTTTATTATGCAGTATGTATACTTACAGACAGCACTTCTTGAGACTGCGGTGCATTTGACACTTTTTCCTAAGTAAAAGTAAAAGTTCTAAATTAAATCTTATGAAATCTTCAAACATCTAAAAACTAAATACACCAATGAATAAGACAATGAGTAACTTTTAAACATAATAACTATTTCAAACCATTCCAAAGTGTAAGGATTATCAAATATGACCACCTAATAAGCAAGGACATTGACAATGGCCTGACCAGATTAAACCATTTCTGGAGATTTTAACATTTAAAGATGCATTAAAACCAGATATGTGTCATATAAATAATTATATGTGTTGAGATGAAGTGCTATCAAAATCACGAGAAATAGTTTTGCCAAAAAGGGTACTTTAGTGTGGTTTTCTGGATTCAGTTTTATACTACACTGTCTTCAGATCAGTTAGTGAGCTCTCATCTCATTCACTGCGCTCATCTTTTACTACTACTTCAAGAGAGAGAGAGAGAGAGAGAGAGAGAGCATGTTAACTTCCTTCTAAAAGAGAATAAACATGCCAAAACTTCTTATTATAACATATAACATAGCAACTGTTTTGCTTTGATCATGATAATATTTTTGTTGTTGTTGTTTTTCATAACAAGTGTAGTTATCTCTTAAATATAAATCTGGTTTCTTGCAAGGTTGGTGTTATAATATATGACTTTCAACATTGGAAAGGATGGTTATAAGTGAAGGTTGTAAACAAAAATGATTAAGATATCCTTGCCATTTAGATTGCCTGATGATGAGAAAGAGGGTATTTTTGTATACATTTTCTGCAACACTTCAAATGCATCTTCAAAGAATAAACTAATCATATGGGATCTCTACATTGTGAGACAGTTGCTGTCACAAACTTCTGTTATAATCTGACATCCAACACATTCTCATTCAATATTTTATCAGAAATATCACTGTAACCAAGAGACCACTGTAACGTGAGAGTAGATCACAGGCATCTACAATTTTTCCAGCACACAATAGTACAAACCAGGTCAATATTCCATCTTTCACTACAAGTCTACCATCACAAATCCCACCTTAATCTGTGAACCTGAACGATAATACAAACAGAAATGCACCCACAGTGCTCTATTGGACCACTTAAATGCAAAGTATAGAGGATTGTGGTGGAAAAAGATTGTAATCAAAACATTTTTCAGGGGTTCTCAAATGTTCAATTTTCTATTGAAGGATCTTTTCTCTTTCATGTTAACTTAAAATATCCTAAAATATAAACATGCAAATTCAAGTTCAATCTTACAAAATTTAATTTACAAGATTTAATAGTGACAGAATGGCACAAAATTGGTTTTCACACTGATCTAAACTTCATGGAGTTATTTCATTCAAGATGCGACTTCCAACTATTTTACAGTGTTATAAAAAACTCATAAAAAGCAAGTTTTAAAATAACTCAAATTCTTTTCCTATCACACCGTAGGTCATAAACTGCAGGCAAAGTACTGTGATAAGCATTAAATATTCAAGCAAGGTTTTTAACAGTCATTAAATACTACCTTCAGGTGCAATACGGGAGATGTATGTAACACTTACTTACCCATATAAATTGTCTTTTCTCATTATCTGTATCTAAATCTAAAACTTCATCCAAATCTATTTCACAGTCATAAGTATCAGCATCATCCTGAAATGAAATGGAAAATAATAAAATTAGAATTCTCTGTTCGGTGCCACTGATGGATTTTTTTTCGGATAAGCATTTCAAAAAGATATTTCAATGAGTTGAATTACTAGAAATCTGAACTTTTAAATATATATCACTTATTTTGTCCATAACCTTATTTTGACCCAGATACCATGATAAATACCATGATTATTATATTGCAAGCTTGTAAAAAGCAAAAAATCATTCAACTGTTGTTCTTTATGGGTCACAGTAAAAGTTTGCCTTTTTTTTGGGGGGAGGGGAGATGTATAACCTCATATATTGTATCTACAAACCGTTATAGTCATCATATATTAATTGTTAACCAGAAACATTCTACAATACACCTATGGGGGCTTTACTTGCCTTGTATTGCACATAACTATATTAACAGTATAGGAGAGGGCTAGTT